TCCATCGTATCGCCTTCAAAGGCTCTTTTCACTTCATTGGAAGACGTCTTCTAAGGGAAGAAAGATGGGAGAAGAAATTATGTTGGAGCGAGATGAAGACGACCACAACAACAAATCAGTTTCATTGATGGGTTTGACACTTTGGTTCCATTTGATCACAGATGAATGTCAAATACAGCGAGTTAGCTTCTAAAGATGTCATATAGATATGACTTTTTATGACCCTCTTGTCCTGGTATTCGGGCAGAAGTCCCGGCCTCTGCCTGGAGGTGGAGTCATCTCTGCTGATTTGTGAAGGATGGTTCTGGTTTTCTTTGCTTAAGGATGCAAGATAGCATCAAGATAGCTTCTACTGAGCTTAAAAACTTGGTCGTCTGGCTGCTTAGTAAGTGGCCCAGAAGGATTCCAGAGCGTTTACGAATAAAACCAAACGAGTTTTAGCAGGACGGCTCTTTGGAGGCAATAGAAGGTGGGAAATGTTTAACCCCTTACCACAGAAGACCCCAGCCAGAGAGATTAGGAGCTACAGATGTGCACGTGAGGCGTTAACGTTTCTGAGCTAGCCTCTAGCGCCCCGCAGGTTTGCAGGTGTTTAATATTTTTTTTTTTTGTTTATTCCTTAGAAAATCTTTATTTCTCCAGAGCTCCTCAGGTGTAGTTAAACAGCCCCTCTTCTACTTTATCCTTTATCTCCTTTATCTTTCCCCAGAATACTTTTGTGGGTGGGGTTCATTACAGCCAAGCCGAAGCCAATGAAGGCTCTTTAACGAGTTCCCAAAGGCTTGATTATGTCTCAGCTCCACTACGGCTATCATTTAGGCTTAGGGTAATTGCGAAATGACTATCGTAATAAACTATACTGTAGTACACATTTACTTACATCATTGAACTTCTGAGGACGTTCTCCAGAGCAGAAACCTACAGTTGGATAGATTTCTGTGAGAAATCTGCAAATCGTGAGGCCCAAAGGTAGACAGAGTGTCGGGTTATGATGGAAAAATGACTCATTTTTTATTCGCAGTCAGCTCTTCCCACTAACAGCCACCCAGATCTGTGGAAACAAACCAGTGAGCTCGTCTTAAAGAACTTGCCTCTCACTCTGGGACGGAGGACAGCGGCGGCCCGAGTTTCTGCCAGACTGACACAAA